AGTCCAGCTAGACACAATTATTTTGCGCACATCTATCATTGAATTGTCTCTGAGACAGAGTTTCGCCTCGTTGATTTAGTTGACACTTACCCGCAGCAATATTTCCCGTTGTCTGCATTTTCGAATCGCCAGTTCTGATGCCCAATTAATCACCTCGGCCGCCGATGCGGCAAACACATCAAAACTCATAAACCAATAGCGTTCAGCTGGCACATAAATGATCGTTCCGAGAAGCATCACCAAAGATGCAGTAGAGAAGCATGAACGACCGCCGCGAGCAGGCGGAGAAAAAAGACGCGAAGAGAGCACTCGAGAGAGAAAGAGAGAGAGAGAGAGAGAGAGAAACATCGACATTTCGTTCGCTCGCAAGGTCGCTTGTACTCCTCTGACCGAGCTCGTCAAATTTTTTTTCCCTTTCAACTAGCTAACCGTACAAGAGGTAATTCAGGTGCAGGCGAGCGACCGGTTGCTTGCCGGTTCGTTTTGTCCCCGCGCTTCCTCGCCGAATAAGCTAAAGCCAATCAGCTCCCATTCACGCCGACTCTCGACGATGCCTTAGTACGCTAATCACGCTACTTTATGCATCAAGCTGTCGTTGCATTATTTTCGCTAGTAGAAAGGAAAGCTCCAGCTTTCTCTTGCTCAATTTTGATACAACATTTTAACTCGTTATAAACAATTTCAATTTATCGAATTTCTGCAAATCGTCATTAGTCGATCGAAAATAATAGTGGATAATCGCCATTAAAGATAGAGCGTGTACGAAGAATCATTTTGTAGCGCGCAAGACATCATGCAGTACGAGCGTCATCCGTTAGTGAAGACTATATTTATCCACGAGTCGAGTCTGACATCGATGAACTTTTCGTTATCAAAAAGAAAAAAAATGCAAAGAAAAGAAAAAGAACAAGTCATAACATTCCCAGCGTATATGCTATTCAAAACTCGACAAAACTTTCGGATTGTAAGCTCTGGTACGTAGTATGCGTTTGTCGAATCGAAGAAAAACGAGGAGAGATCAGTGACACGCGCCGCGCGCAAGACGTAAATAAGTCGACGTTTTTCCGTCTACTACTCGTTTTGTGCTTTTACGTCTAGTGTTGCCTGTGCACTGCCATGCGGGCGAGCGCACGCGAAATTTCGACGCGCGTCGAGCTTTTGCAGTCGAGCCTTGACTTCAACTTCACGCAGTGGGGACTGCAGCTGCTTCGTCGCTCTCTACATAACTTTAATGATCACGTACACAAACTGAACACGAAGATAAGAGTAATTAACGGGCCGATTGCAAAGCGATAAATGAAAAAGTGGGGATATTCTCGGAACACTTGAAACACAATAATTATCGACAAACGCTCAAATCATATGATGTCGTTTATTCACATGGAATAATGCTCGCAGTTTCAAGATTAGACAAATTTTTCAAAAATACTCGTCCAAGCGGATATTGAACTCCCAAAATGATTAGAAGATAAGAAGACTTTCCTGGTAATTAGATAAGATCTCAGAATAATCGCACTTCCGTCTTCGGTTCAAAGCTAATAATCAATTCCTTTGACGCTGAAGAAGGTCTCCGCATAAGTCGATGCGCGACATGACATTTTGACAGTTGACATCTGTGACTGCGCGAGTTAAACCTAATTTAAGGAAGATCACTTGGCTTTTGCAAAATTCATCGCGCATATAGCGTTTCACTATTCTTCGTTATTGTCAAACAAATAAACTTTGCGCCTGTGGATAGAATGTTTGAGCTCTTTTTTTTTTTGTTTTTTATGACAAGTCCTCAATTTTTCAACAACTATTATTAAAACTCAGAGGATTGACGAAGAAAGAAAAATAAGAAAAAGAGGGGACGAGGATACAAGACGGCAATAGAGAACAAAAGTAAGCACATTACGAGAAAAGATGTAGCTATACGGCTGAAAGCTGAGCTTGTAAGAGGGAGTTAATAATTGACACATGCGATAAATCGCGAACAGAGCGATCAGTTGCATTAGCAAAGTGTACGGTAATGGCAGGAAAAAAGGAGTAAAAGAGAGAGAGAGAGAGAGAGAGAGAGAGAGAGAGAGAGAGAGGGTGGGAGAGAGAGAGAAAAGGTAGACAAAGAGGATGTGGAGTAGCAGTGATGATCGCAAGACAAAGTGATCGTCGGAATTGATCGGTAGGCGGGCTATGGCGAGGAGCGCGCGCGAGCTAAGGATCGTTCTCGGGAAAACGCCGTCGATAGCAAAGGTAACAAGGTGGTCGCGCGGCCAATCGACCGCTGATTGATCGCCGTCGCAAAAAGTGGCAACAGAGCAGCAACAGCACCAGCCGCCCCGGCGGCTAACGGTAAGCGCCCGCCCTGGATGGAAAGCCGGTCCTCACGCAGCCTGAATAGACAAGCGAACGTGCACCTATGAATCTGCTCTCGGCCGGCAGACTTCTTGCGCTTTCTACCCACCAGCCAGGAACACACACGCAGTCCGACAAACTGTCCACTCCGCGATACCCACTACCTCGCCCCCCTCCCCCACGCAATACCATCCTAACGAGTCCCGGCTCGTTTCTTTGGCCTCTTATGCTTTTTTCTCCTTTTCTTCCGCGACTCCATTAATCTTCTATCTTATATGTTTATCCCTAATTATACGCCATTTCTTTCTGCTATTGTACGTCCTCTCGTAGGTAAGCTTAGCTTTCTCGACGAGCTTGTTATTTAATATTGCTCTGTTTCGACACAAATATGTTACACTGTGTTACTAGATGTATGCTCAACTTGCCTGAGGAGTACGGCTGAGTTCTTGCTGCGACCGATAAAAAAAAGCACAGTAGATAATTGGAATATATCATTACTGATAAGAAACAAATACGTCAGGAACTAAGTACACTGTAATGATACAGTAATAACTAAAAAAATTGAACAATTAGACTTCGTACAATCCATTATGATTATGATTACATGCCTTGCTTGGTTTTTGTCAGCAATTAGAGATTATATATTATGAATTGATAGTTTATCGACGAAAATTAGTAATTGTCAGATATTACAAATCTCGTGATTTATTACTATAATATTATTTTGGCATTATGGAATTTCATTATACGAATATTAATATTGCAAATATTTTCTTACTTTGTAAGTGGATTGATTAATCAATTTGTTCAAGTTTTAATTTTACTACTGATTGTACCAATTCCAAAGTGCTTCTTAACAGTCAAAAAAAGTTACAGAACGACTATAACAATATTTTTATTTAATTGCACATACAGTGATTTGCGCAAGGGACGTATTTATGCACAAACTATTTTGTACAACAAAAATATTACATTTGATTATAATTAAATGTATCGGAAAAAATTATCGACTTTTGCATAACAATTTTTCGAATAAGCTCGTGTAAGCGATTTAAATGTGCTCCAAAGTGTTACGAGCAATGACATTACAATTTAGATACATCGTTTGACACACTTCTTAGCGTTGGAATCGTACTCGATTTGATTTAGCAAACTTTGTAAGCTTTACTGACAAATAGACAGATAAAGTTCTCATGCTACGCGATTGTCATTGGATACTCAATATTTACTCATATCTATAGCTTACATATTGTCTACACAATTAGCCTCTATCTATTACGTAGGTCACTTTGAATGTGACATGTAACAATATAATTGTCAAGTGTACAACTTTTTTGAATTACATTTCAAACTATTTCTGCGTAAACTTTATTCTAAATAATCTCGAATGAATAATTATTTTTTGAATTCAATACTCGTAGTAAAATATCTTAATTGATGGCTATACACTCTCAAAATACCATTTCCATCTATACGTCTACTACTTTTCATCTATTTAACGATTATTGCATGATCTCGTAAAACATTTAAAAATTTTCTTATAATGATTCAATTCGACATACTAAATTGGTTATACTAATAATGTATAAGCTCAAAATAACTAACATTAAGATTACGTTTAATTGAAAGAAACGTCTGTCATCTGAAGTATTTTCGTTTCGTTTTCATTTGCTAATAGAGAGCATCTTAAACTACTTTGAACTACATCGTAACTTCGCCAAAATTTTATCAGACAACACTAACAATTTGCAATCGCCACTGTAAGGTCAGAGATGAGTACAAATATGTGCTTGCAGGAAGAAATAGAAAACAGGAAAACATAACAAACATCGAATAATTACTGACGTAAATATCATATGTGTGCCAGACTTGAATATTTATGCTTCTAGACTGTAGCTTGATCTTAGAAAATAACATTTTTGACTGCAACGTACGCAAACATTTCCTGAGCTTGCTTTGAATAAGAATAATGAATATTTTTACAGACTTCCAGAACGGAAACGTTGATTTGGATTTTATGTTTTCCTGTTGTTAACTTTTGAAATAAAAATTGAATCATACACGATGAATTGACCAATGCGTACGTGTTGAGCAATTGATTTATTATGCCGATACTGCGAATGAAATCTGATAATAAAAATCCATACTGTATTGAAATTTTTTCATTTTGGTTTCTAGATAAAGTAACACCAACTCATATTCCCGCTATTAAGCAGTTTAACATGCATAAATAAATAAAGATAATTTTAAATCTTGATGAACCGAAATAATAAGTAAAATTGAAAAAAAGAATGCTTTTTATTATAAAGAAAATATTAAATGAGTAATAGTCCAAATGGGGTTTGCTTGTATACAAGTGTTCGCTCTGAAATAGTAAGTTTATTTAAAATTAGATGTAACTTTGTATAGAAAATTAAGTGGATATAAGCTTTGTCAGCTAGTCATAATAACGGAGACAGTTTATTAGTGGCGCTGAAATCAGCTATATGAAAAGATAAGGCTATATTTAAAAATTCGCTGACCAAAATCTTAGCCGCGTGGCTTATTTCATATCTGCCATATCTTCATTATATAACATTTCAATTGTCCACACATCTAGGTGTAGAATCAGAGAAGAGAAAAGCGTGGATTAACAATGCAATTGACCGAGTGCTTCAATGTCTGTGCAGATCCGAGACTAAGGCATTCAAAGGGCAGCCTGGACGTGCTCTACTTCAAGTTCTCGGACAAGGTGTTACAGCACAGGGTGACGCGAGCGGAGCTGTCGCTGTGGATCTACGGCATGCAAGAGAGTCGAGATCAGTCGGACGACGGACGAGGAGGAGGAGGAGGAGGAGGAGGAGGCGATGGAGGAGGAGCCACGCTACTCGACAATTACGAGTCTGCGGAAAGTAGCACGATAACGATAACGCTGCAGCGTGTGATGCGCGGCTCGACCGAGGCCAGCGGGCCACCGCTCGGGCCGGCTCTCACCACGAAGCATCGCAGACCTGCGGGCAGGCGCGGCACCTGGGTTACCATCGAGCTCAGACGCATGGTCGCCGAATGGTTCAAGCACCCGCGCGACAATCTCGGAGTTGCGGTCAAAATCAGCTTGGCCAATGGCCGCCGACCAAGCCGCAGCTCCAGGCCCGTGGAGACCAGTCCGGACGCCGACAACGCGCCCTATCTCGAGGTACAGACACAGGAGCTGGACTCGAGGCGAGGAGCTAGGATAAAGAGGAATGTCGGGCTCAATTGCGACGAAGCCAGCCAAGAGACAAGGTGCTGTCGGTACAAGCTCACCGTCGACTTTGAAAAGTTCGGTTGGGACTGGATTATTGCGCCTAAAAAGTGAGTTTATTCCTAAAAGTCCTATACTGTATCGCATGCTGAAATCGTACTACCGATAGAATTTCTCTCGTAACGTTAACTCCATTTTACGAAATCGAAGAAGACTTTTCCAGAATAACAGTTGTCAAAGTACGTTCGCCTAAAATGTTGGTATGTTGTTATGATTTCCGATTGCAGGTACGACGCAAATTACTGTTCGGGTGACTGTCCGATGGCATTTCTACCGGCATATCCGAACACGCACATCGTCAGTCTGGCCGAACCACCGAACACAACGGGGCCGTGCTGCGCGCCTCGCAAGCTCTCGGAGATCACGATGCTCTACTTCGACAACGAGTACCAGATTGTCTTCTCACGGTTGCCTGGCATGGTCGTCGAGCGTTGCGGCTGCTCATAGTTTTCTCAATCTTCAAGAGGATCGAGGCCGTGACAGCAGATCAGCAGATCGAGAGGTGATTTATCATATATTCGGCAGCGCGAACGATAAGAAATTTCGCCTTTGTCGAAATAAACTGAAGTTTATGTAAGAGCTTTCGTAACAAGAGACAGAGAGACTGCTCTGGTGATGGGCACGTGTGTGTGTGTGTGCGTGCGTGCGTACATGCATGGGTGCGTGTGGGCGTGTGTGCGTGTGCGTGCGTTTTCATTCTCTAACATTCTTTTCTTTTTTGTTCTATTTCTTATTTTTCATCGATAGACTGAAGTGCTTTGTAGATGTGGCTGCCGCAAACGAGAGTCGATCGAACTTGAGTAACGAGGGTGTCGATTGGCTAGTAAATTCTTCGTATAGAATAGGGAAGAGACGTGCGCGCTCCACGACAATTATTAAACGACATCACCAGGCTCTCTGCACAATAGTATTATCTATCGCACGCAATGCTAATGATAAATCCTTTGCTTAGAGAATAATAATTGGCACAAAGTATCGATAGAAAATATACAGTAATTTTGTTTAAAAATATGAAAGTAAAGGGAACATTCTTTTCGACGGATCTTTCAAAAAACCTTACAGTTGTAATACCATTATTCATAGTGTGCACTGCTGAACTGTTTTTCTTAGCATACCTACTGCGCATAATTAAACTATTGTACAAATGAGCCTTCAGGAGTAAACATGCGTTTTACTTGAAAAAGTGAAAAACGGTAATACATTACAAGGCGAATAGTTCCTAGTGTCACGGTATTATTTTAAGATACCATCGCGTTATTGGTAAATGAAAAAAAAACACAAGTACGAAAAATTAAAAAACTTACATTTTCATTGCAGACAACAATGAAAGATAATTCAAAATATGCTGTTTTACTATAATATATAAAAAAGGCTTCAAATTACTCTCTACAGAAAATACAAAAGCACAGTAATGGAAAAAAAACGCGATGGTCGAAGGATCTCGGTGTACAGTTATAATTCGTTATGTCTTTTTTTCTTTTTTTAATGGAAAGTGTGCAATGTGCGAGTGCGCGCAAAAACAAATGCAAATATTCAAGTTTATTAAGTTTAACGTGTATGTGATTTGTACATAAATAATGAATATAATTATATTATTTTTTAGAATAATTATGAATCTATCATAATAATTTGCTTTAGCTAAAACAATTAAGAAATTTTGTAATACAAAGATTAGTAGAAAAAGGAGAGTGAAGACAAAAGCGTTTAATAAGATGGATCCTAAGATAGAGTGATTCTTAAGGGTCATTATGGCACGATTAGTTTAATTTAGATATGCTGATAATTAATAAGACAACTTTAAAAAAATTGGTATCAAAATTTTACAGAAAATCATTTTGAAATATACTTGCACGCTAAATATGAATTTAGAGTTTTTAATATAAATCAATATTTTTGTTTTGTAATTCCTGCAAATCTGATCTACAATGCATCTAATGTAAGACAGTTTAAAATTATAATAATATACACATTTTATTGGTCAAATTTATAGGCTCCTAGTGATTCTCTTGATACCAAAATTTTTTATTATAAAATTCAAAATATTTGATTTCGTTCCATTATTCGTCATTTTATTAACACTCGCACAAATACTTACATGTGTCACAGCATTGTGTATACAAAATGAAAACACTGTCAATCCATTGACACGTGTCTTCCTCTCATTTTTTTAATTCTAATTAAATTTTATTATTTACTTCATGACTTTTATGAAATTAATTATATCTCATATATTTTCAATTATTCCTGTTAACTAAATCTCTGTTTTGTCATACACCATATACAACAAGAGGACTTAGATATTTTCTTATCAAATCGAGTCTTTTTCAATATGTCCGTCGTGAGTTTTTTTGTAATATAAAATAAAAATAATCAAATAATTAAAGTATATAAATGTATTTTGATCAAATTAAAAAATCGATTACCTAGGGTTAAATACAACCATCTGAATAATGTCATATAACCATACATAATATCAAAATCGTTTAATAGATCAATAAAAAATGAACTATTCCTTTCGCTTTAAGGCTGATTCTCCAATAGATACGAAAATTGTACTCAACAAATTACTGCCAACTTACGAATTCAAAATAATTCAACTTTGCAATTTCATGCAACATAATCTTAATAATGATAACGAAATTGTCCCAACTTACAAACGTTTTTTTATAATATTATATTTAATCTGAGTAATATTTTAATGGTAACTATTGGCTAATAATTTAACTATTTTTTACACTTTTATTAAAATATACTTGTTGTATTTAAATTTGTCTAATCATTTTGAGGTTATGTTAAGCATTTGTCATTTCAAATTGGCAGCAGCAGAAAATCCACTAGAAATTGCTTGACGCGTACGATTTTCGTGTCTGTTGGAGAATCAGCTTAAGTTTTCTTTGAAGATTTGAATAATATTTAGTCAAAATAATTTTATGGCAGGAAAAATAATCAATATTGTTAGTATGTTTTTGGTTATTTTTTAAAAAACGTTTTACCAATTTCGACTGATGCAAATCAAATTCAGGACACAAAAGTAAAAAAAACTAAAATACATTATAATTAATATATAAAATATGAATTCCAAGAATCAATCGCGGATATCTTAAAACAATCCATGACGAAATAACAAATCAATCCAAACGTAATAATGTTATTTACATGACGGACCTTAAAGATGCATCATAGAAAAGTACATATTATGGAATGAATTATTTAAATTAATACAACAAAGTGACTAATAAGGTAAATGTTATTAAAATAAATTATAACTAATACAATAATAAATTAAAATTTTTTAGTAAATGACTTATCTGCATCGTATTTATTTTGGTTGATATTTCTTATATTATATATCGAAATTGCCATTTTTTTTAATTGCGATAACTCAGGCTAGATATAATTAAATTGATTGTACTAGGTCTCATTTGAAAATGAAATCTCGTACTACGAAAAATTCGATTTTAGTTAAATTTTATGTCTGTTTAATTCAAGAACCTAATGTTAGGTACATATATGATCATCTAAAATATCTCGAGAGTTCATAGGCCAAATGATCTGAACAACGAACTCGGTTCATTGTTTGCAATAAGCAATGTAAGCAATGTCTGTACAAAATTGTAAGTCTATTCGATTAAATGTACTCCTTTTTATTTGTCATTGTTATAACAACAAAAAAGACCTATTTTTATATGACATTTTTTGCGAGAACTATTCCACAAAATGACTTAAAATTTGAGAGATATTTTACTAATATTATGAGACATTTACGGTAAAATTTTTGAAAAATTTTATGTAATATTTTTTAAATATGAATTTTCTTTTTTAATACGTTTTATAACACAGCTAATGATTGAACATAGCTAACGAAACGATCCTTTTGACAAATGAAAGAGAAAATGAAATACTATAAGTTTAAAAACGTACGTTATAAAAATAATATAACAAAATTTACAGGAAATACAAAAAAATTTTAAACTAAAATTGAAAACTTAAAAAAAATCATTTTATTTGAAATTTTAGAAGATATTCGTCAAAATTATGTAAAGCCTTTTTTACATTCTTCATTATATAAAACAAATTATCTAATAATTTATTATTCTAAGGTAAATTTTCACACAGAACTTAAATTATCGACAACCACATACATATATAATCACACACGCATACATACATATACTCATTTTCTAAAAAGGTGTATTATGACTCTCAATACGTTTAAACATACTTCTATAATGATTTTAAGAAAGCTATTTTTTTCATCAAGACAAAACTTCCTCTACGAGGAAGCAATACCTACTTTATTAAAGTGAATGCACAAATGTACACTGATTTTAAACGTAAATCCGTGTAAATTTATTACATACGAACATTTAATAAATAGATTCCATCAGACAAAATGTATAAATGCATACACACTCAATAGTATAAAAACTTGTATTTAAAAGGACGATAAAAAAGCACGTTTCTACTTGCTTAAACTGAAAAAGCGACAAAGCTAGTAAATTTGCCATCATCTTTAAGCGTATGTTACATATATTCTATTAAAAATGCAAAGCTTTTCATGGCAATAACTTAAGCACTTCATTAAGTATAAAAAATGTGTGTACGTGACTAGACTAAAACCATTGGTGATTAATTTATGGTTCACCTAGCGTAACATGTATATTATTGTCATTATAAATATTATCACTACTGCTATAATTATAATTATTATTAACATCATGCATCAATATCGGGGCACCGATCACGCTATGCTGCCCAAGATAAGATGAATAAAAATTACGATGCTCCTATATCACCCATACCCTTATTCCTTTTTTAGTCCTTTGATATATGATGTTTATTCAAATGCTCTCTCTGAGTACTTTATAAACTTTTTCAGAATACGAGGATAGCGATTTTTCGATTAAACAAATTATGAACACTTCAGTATATAAATAATAATTAAAAAATGATTGTAATGCGTATTTACTATTTGAATCAAGAAGAAAATCTACTTATATGTATAATGTGTACTTTTTAAATAGAGGCAATAGATAGAAGAATATTTATTCAACTAAATAAATGGTTTTTCGACAAATGTATGACCGACTATATTTTTCCTTATTCCTCCAATTATTTCGGCACGTGCTCTGACTTTGAGTAGGTATAGTATACCTATAGTGCAGATGTAGCTATAAACAATCTTGCACGCGCGACTTTGTGTCTTATTTCTCCTTTTTTATCATTCAGTTTGATTACGCCAAATGAATCTACAAGTGCATCACTTTTTGTAGAGATATCTGGATGTTTTTATCATTGGAGTTTTCAATATATGCTTTTCCAAGTTTTCACGATAAGCAAAAGGTATCATTGTTTTTTAAGCGAGGCAGATTCAAACAGTATTTATAAATCTATAGATTTTACAAAGTAAATTACAATTGAAGGATACGATAATTTACTTTTAATAATACAAAACATTATTTTTAAAAATTGGTGTGTGAAAATTTTATGCCTTTTCTAATAACCACGATTCTATAATAAGATAAGTCTACCTTATAACGCCGCTAAGATGTCAAATCGCCAGTAGTGTTTACTACGTTCGAATTTTTTTACAGGTCGAAGTTTATTGAAACGCCGCATATTTATTCTTTATTTACAATTGATTTAATAAAACCTAATCCCGTATATCACGTTTTGGCGTAAACCACTTATTTTGATGTATATAATTGATTATAGCTTATAACACCATTTTAAGATAACAGTATTTTGACAAATAAAAATAATAGTTGATATTGAAAAATAACTGTTGGTATCAACATATATTATAAAGACATGCTATTTCTGTATGATGAACTTCAATCATCATTTCTTATTTCATGAACATTGCTTTAAAAATTTATATAAAAATGATCCGTAATCCATTAATAACTGATTAAACTTTGATGTACGAATTTCCAAGTTTCTTTGCATTATCATGTGTCTATGAAATTTATACCGATTATTCAAATAGCATTTTCGAAAGTAGCATTCTGAAATTTACTCAAATAAAAAAAGTAATCGGTAAACATTTGGCTCTTTTTATTTTTCAGAATTCAAAGTTTCCAACTGATACTAGTTATTACGGTTATGTCTCG